TTTTTTTTTTACGTGATCTATGAGCACCATCATACTCAGTCACTTTTACATCTGTGATCACATGACCTTAATTTGACCAATTCAAGAAAGTTGAATACTAAAATAAAACATGCAGTCAAAAGAAGATGAGTTTATAGATTTTTTTGACCGCGCTTGCCTCAGAAATGTAACGAGTATGTGTGCATGCACATTCAAACATAGACACACACACACACACACTAGAATGCAAAAAGTACTTTGCGCAGTGGTTCAAAGTGCAAAGTAAGCTCCTAAATACAAAGAAAAATCATATGGTGCATATTCCTTTTTCTGAGTAACTGTCAAACCACTCAGCAGTTGCAGTAGGACTAACTACTCGTACAGCGCCATCCATAGGTTAAAATTTGTACTTCTGCTACTTAAGCTACAGGAAACTGGTTCTCTTCAATATTTTCTGACACTTTGAGAACCAAACATGGAGTTGAAAAAGTAATGTATGCTGTGGCAATACAGATTAGCTTATGAATTCAAGAGGAGCATGTGTACAAAGTGATTTCAAGACAGTCTAGGTTAACATTGGACTGAAAACAGTTTTGACTCCATCATTCATCGTCTGAGCTTTTGATCCAGATACACTGTGTATCTCAAAGACAAGGACCCAGCTGCGGTGCACGGACCGCTGGATCACTGTCACTGCTCTGGCTGCTTAGACAGCAAATAGTCTGTATCTGGGCTCTACTACCTCTCTTTAAGGTATTTGAGACGTTTTGACCTTTTGGTGACCACTTAAAACTTTTAGACAGGGAGCTTATTGTCTGTCAGCAATGATTAATGTTAGCAAAGACAGTGAGGGAGGAGAGAGGAAGTCACCGAGCGATGAGGATGGAGGAGCAACAAACAAACTGTATCTTGGCTTCCATAGTAAAAAAAATGCTACAAATATGACGCAATTAAGTATTTATATGGAGCACAGTAAAACTTACATGTGTTACTTTGAATTAACTTGTGTTATTTGGCGTGACTTGAACAATAGACCTGCTGTTCAACAGCAAAGTGTAATCACTGAACCGTTTTCTTTTCATCCTCGCTCGAAACGCCCAGGGCAAAAAGTGCTAGTGTTTAACAAGCGGGACTGAGTTTACACGACGTCAGTTATGTTACAATCAAACCAATGATGCTAGAGTGAACAAACATGCTAACAGCTAAATTAATACAGAACAGAAACAGAACATTAATTAGGCTTTCTGTCCGTCTCTACTCCTTTCTTTTCCTCTATCCATGTACAGTGTTCTGTGTAATTCAGTAAGTTCACAGAGAAGCAAACATTATTCTCGGTGACACAGATGTTGTATCTGTTGCAGTGTGGTGTTCATCAGGGCTTTTTCTTGAATACCTTCTCATAGGTCCGGAATGTGAAGGAGAGGAATTCCAAAGAAACTATTTTTTATTCACCTATGTTTGCGAAACTAATCTTGAAGGTGCCATGCTACCACCTTTATTCTCTTTCCTAACCTCTTTTATGTTCCATAGGGGTGTTTTTACTTAATCTGGCTGGTTAGAGCAGAGCTAAATCACCTAAAGCTCAATGTAAAGACAGTGTTATCAATATTTTAGAATATTTTGCTTTCTCAGCCTTCGTGCTTTTCGTATCTTGCGGTTTCCGTTCTGCCCTAATTCCAAACAAATGTGGACAGTCAATGAGAGAAACAGAAAGAGACAAGGAAAGAGAGAAAAAGCTGCAAGCCATAAACAGCTGTTTCTATGTTTCCCGACTTCTAGAGTGAAGGCAAGAGAAAGAGACATTTTCCACAATGACTGTGGTTGACAGACCTTTTTTCAGCGAAAGTAGAGGAGCTGCTAATAACATTAGGATTGGCTGTGTTCTATTTGAGTGTCTTAAGGAAGCTGTGACGATGTGACACTGAACCTGAATGCAGAACACCTGCATCCTCACACTGGAGAAGCTCAATAAAACTCTGCCACCATTAATTCAGCTATTTATACCCGCGCTCTCCCTGATGTGGCATGTCAGAATACCCATTTGAGAATATATCTATGGATAATTAAATATGTATGACATGGTTTAAAAATTAAATGTGAAAGGTAATGTTTAGAGCCAGTCAGTCCCTTGTGTAGTGTCTCCACTCACAGTTGCACCATGTCTCTCCTCATGTCTGCATCTCTCCCACTGTTTCTCTCTTGTCCAACCTACTTGACATTCCACCACCCAATCTTTCAATCTCTTTACTTCTCTTTTGACTCTCTATCCTGTTTTATCTTCCTTTCTTTTTCTCTCTCTCTCCATCGCTGCCTCCACTGAGACAGCTCTCCTACTTCTTGTTCTCTCTGTTCTCCTTGGTGATTGTTCTACACTTGTCTGAACCTTCTCTGAAACTCCCTGCAGGCTGGGAGGTGGGTGCACAAACAAGCATAAGCACACACACACACACACACACACACACACACAAACACACACATTGCTGGTACACACATTTCTAGCTGTGTCTTATATGTCCATACAACTACCATTCAGACAAAAATAGGCCCATACACTCAAATGCTTACAAGCACTTTTAGGAAGCAACAAGCAAGCACCAAACACACACACGCACATGTATGAATTCACACACACAGCTGTTGTCATGACATTTGTAATAAATTGCTTTGTGGGATTTCCTCTGCTGGTTAAAAAAGATTGAAATGCCACTGCAGGCATGATCACAAATCAATAAACCATTCTCAAAGCTGCCATTTCAGTGTGTGTGTGTGTGTGTGTGTGTGTGTGTGTGTGTGTGTGTGTGTGTTTTCACAGGCCGCAACTTTTGTTCTGCCTCTGCTATTCCATTTGCCTTTCCATTCATTTCATTGTTTTCCCTTAAATATATCCATAAACAGTGTTTATAAGATAAGATGAACTTTATTGATCTTCAGGAAAAAGAAATGCAGCCATTGCTCCCCCATTCTGTGAACATAACCTGGACCAATTTTATACTTTCTTGTGCTATGTCCTACATTTAAGAATTGAGGAAGAAGAACTGATGTGGGTTTTTTTACATGGAGGCACTTGCAAAAAGATTTTATTTGAGCGCACTAGGCTTATAATCATTTCCTTTTAGTATTACATATTTGCACACATAGTTTATCCCTCCTTATCTGAATACTGAAGGTTGTTCTTCAAAATATGAAGTTTTTAAATGTATGAAAGTTTATAAATTGAATTATTGAAATGAATGTTTGTGTTTGAGTGATGTGACAAGATCCACATGAAACAAGATGTCTCACTCTGTTGAATTTGCTAATAAAGTAGTTCTTTTTCAACAACTTTACAGTGCAGTAACACCATCATTGTCTTTGTTATGCTATCAAACTTTTTATTTAAAATAAATAACCACCCATGCTCATGCACACATTTTACAGTTTTCACACATCTGTTTTTAGTCCCAAGTGCAAGTGCCCGTGCCGCACTGTCAATCCTTCTACCAGTACTGTTTTACATGTCAGTGTGCTTTATGGTTTTATCGTCTCCCAGATAAAAGATTAAATAAGCGTGACTTTGGGGATTCCACACAGATTAGTAATGATATGGTAGAGAGAAGTGCAGAGGGACACGGATTAAGGTGTAAATCTGATTCATTTACGATAAATCCACCCTGTCTCACTATCTCTGCAATGGCTTTCTGGCTTAAAGACCTGATCCTCTTCACTTTCTACAAACTAAAGCACTTTGTGAACTAACTATTTAATTTTGAATTTTCCTCTGATCACTGCCACACGCTGGTATTTTCCTCGATTCCCTGCTTACAGAGTTCAGCGCGTGACTGAACTGCAACATGGAAATGAACACCCTAATTTCCCCAGAGATGTTTTTGTGCCCTAATAAAAGTACATTCTTTTTTTTAAGGACTAAGTGAAAGCATGAATAATTCTTGCAGGGAATCACACTCACAGTCTGTGGTGCTGGAAAAGGCATGGGAGGCAATATGAGAAATACAAGTCAAGGATGGAGTTATTAGTTACACCACCACAGCAGGGATCTTCTGCTGCTGCTTTTCAAATACTGGATTTTTTCCCAGTACTGCCTCTACTGTACTAACACTTGATGCAGTATTCAGGATCACCAAGTCTGTGTGCACTTTCATTCCCTGTCACTGGATGTCCCAAACACTGTCTGCTGCCTGTCCATCAGCATTTAACCATTGACTGATGGCTCCCATCTCTTGTGAGCTCAAGCCACTCTGACCAACACTGATATTAGTGGGAGACTGGCCACTGCTCCATTCTGGCACCTAAAAGTAAAAGATCTGATGTGACACCTTTCGTTTAAAGCTGTAGGTTGTTAAGTTGTTTTTTTAAAAACTTTCTTATTTGTTGAAACCCCGATAGCCATCAATAAATAAACTTGTCCGAAAAAAAAGGAACAGTGGGTGTCAGTGGCCCGCATTCCCGCACACTGTAATAAACACGACCACTGAAATGACTGGCTGATGTACCTGTGTGCTCCAGTCTTCAGCCAAAGAGACGTACACCAGTGAAGACAAAAGTTAAGGAAAAAGTGAAGATGGATATCGGAGGGTTAGGTATGTAGGTTATGTATCTGTGGCAGGATTGATCTTGATCTGCCATCAGGAGCATCAATACAAAAACCACAACACTGCTGTACAGCCTCCTGCCACAGGAAGTCACACTCCAGTGTAATAAAACACAATGGCACACATGGTGAAATGACAATAAAGGTGAATTTTGAATCTTGAACGTCCTAACTTTTCAAAGTTAAGGAAGGGAACTGACCATTTCAATCACATGGGCTAAGACCATAGACTGTATATGGCTCATACAGGCACCGAAATGAAAAGAGTAAACAGCAGTTTAGCCTGAGGACCTGATGGAAGCAGCTTCACCCTTACATCCACTTTAACTTGTATATTTACTGTCCTTTCAAAAATAAAAGAAACAGCAGCACCAGAGTTTAACTACAACACAAGTTGTCCTGGAGAATGTCTCATAAACCTCAGACCTCTTACCTTTGACGTCTTCGTGGTGGAGACTGAGATGGTCTTGACTTTTAATCCGACTGAGAAGTGATTTCAAAGTAGTTTGTCCCTTGAAATAAAACAAACTCGATAAAGAGTGAGTCCACAGCTCCACACATAACGTGGGACGGTCTCCTGTCCTCGTTTAGCACAGGCTCGTCCCCCTCAGGAGGCGACTACAGGTGAGTTCGCGGTAAAACAGAAACACAAAATGGCGACCGAACCTGAGGGTTTCCTGTCTCTGCGTCGCGCTTGTGTGAGGAAACGTGTTTGTCGAAGTTGTTCAGTGAAACTTTGTCGAAGAAACTTCACCGGAGCTCCATCACAGGAGGCAGCTAGCACCTGAGGCTAGGTTCACAGCTAGGTGACGCGCAGCAAAGCATCATGGGCAACGTAGTCTGCTGACACTTTTACAAAAGGTGCTTTCTAAGAAAAGTGATATCATACAAGTAAAGTTTTATTCACATCATTATAAGTAGTACTAGAAGTATTAGTATTATATATATATTAGTAATATATATATATATATATATATATATATATATATATATACATATATATATATATATTCCCGGAATATACCTGAGAGAATTACATTTAACAGAAAAGGAAATACAATAAATTAAATTACAGCAATACAATTAGCAATAAAATAAGTTAATTAATAAAAATAAATATATATGCCATAGACATAATCCATTTTTGTCACCATCATCAACACAGCTCTGGATTTGGGGGCATGATGCTGCCGTAAACTCGATTGCGCTATATTCTAAAAACTAGTGTTATTTACTCTCGTTTGGTGTTTGTCATAAATAACATGATAAACTCATCTGTTCTACAGAAATATCATGTGCTAAAAATGAAACTATTCATTGAATACCTTCTCAATTTTCATCTTCACTTGCAGTGACAGGACTTTTTATGATTGAGAGCCACACACAGCCTAAGAAAAGTCTTTTCATTTGATTTATTGACAAACATAATAATAGTTGTTATAAGTTGAAATTATTTTGAATGTGTTTTTTATGGGCCCTTATTTCTACATTCCTCAATCAATGTTTTCTTTGTATTCTTCTCATTTCTATTTGTTCAGATCTTCAATTGACGTAAAGACAACAACATCTTCCCCAACGTTCTGTTGCTCAACCTTGACTTTCCCAGTGCAGCTCAAAGCTGTAACTCAGGTTTATTTAATTCCTTTCAGCTCATTTCCTAGCATTTAATTAACCTTTCAGGATCCCAAAGTTACATGGAAATATGAAACATGGTGATCTGGAGCCATCATCTGCCGAGCTGCAATTGCATCACTGTCCTGCAAATAGCATTCCCTCCACTAAAATGTCTAGATAATGTTTGAATGTCAAAACTCCCAGGTCGTCTGCCAGCAGCGTTTGGCATAAATGAAGTCCTGGCCCCTTTGGATCATCTCAGAGAGAAGAGGAAGGGGGGGTGGATGTAATGTATGAATGCTGTGTACACAATAGTGTTAAGAGGGACAGAAAATTTTAAATTGAATTTTAAAATCAACTAATCGTTTGTTTCATGGTGGAGTTTGAGTGGATCTCTGAGTGAGATCTCAGGAGAAGGAGGACAGAGGAGGAGGAGAGGGAAGAGAATAAAGCTCTAGAGGGAAAAGAGAGAAAGAATGAGCTCAGCCTGACCCCCTTCTCTGCATCAATAGCTGCACACACACAAACACACACACACACACAATTTGAAATTCATGACCAAAAGTTTGGGAACAGTGAATCACATATTCTACTGATACTTCCCCCACAGCAGGGCACGCTTTAACACACAGCTCACCAAACATATTTTCCCCGTGGTTGGAAAACCAATCATATCCAACAACTATTCAATTGTCAAACTCGCCCTTTGCCAGCACTAGAACCGCTGCCCTGCTCATCGCTTATGTTCAGCCATCTGCTGGGGGTCCCGAAGTCACCTCACCACACCTTCATCACCTATTCTCCTCCCTGCAAATCAAGCAGACTCCACCGGGGCTTTAGTCAGGATGAACTCAATCCATCATCAATGGCTGACATTATAGTGCTGCCAAACATACATCTTCCTTTCCCCATTTTTTAAAGACCTCTCTGGCACAGTGAGTGCAGCAGTTGTCAGAAGTGTCCAGGTTCTCAATGTCCTTTATCAAATTGCACTGTGCCAGAGAAATGTTAAGTGGGCAAATATGCATGTGAAGTGTGTAAACTGAGAGGTCTGGAGTTAAGCACCAGGACTGGGTGTTGACTGTGCTGTGTCCTGCTTGAGAGAAAGAAGTCCTTCAGATCAAGTGCCAAACATATTGTTTCTACGCAGAGTTTAGACCAACACACACAGGACACAGCAGGACAACATGCCTTAGTTTGTCTGTGCACTTCCAAAACCATCGCACATTCCTTCTACGGTGTTACAACTCTATGGTAAAGTAAAGAGTGAATGGTGGTTTGTCATCTATCCTAAGGGTTATGGGGGAATGGGGCCAACCCCGGCTGGGGGTTGGGAAAGACTGAGGTTCTTGGATAATGGATGGATGGATGGATGGATGAAGTCTCCTGCTGCCCTCCTCTCTAAGCTGACATCTTTGACATCATGAGACCTGAGAGACAGGAGGCAACACAGCTGCTGGAGCACTTCAGTACTTTGGTTCTCTTATGTGTTTTGTTGTGACAGTTAGTTAGATTTCATCACCTCTCCAGATCAGTGGAGAGGCAGTGATGCTCACTCCACAATGCTTCACTTCTCTGGTGGTTTCTACTTTTTTATTTAGTTTGAATGGTTTGGCCTTGTTGAAAACTTATTGATACCAGAAATCCAAATACCACCATCTTTGCCAGTGGGCAGATGCACCTACTATGAGCCCATGCTTCTCTGACCTGTCACTTCTCTGTGTATGTGTGTTTGATATGTTCGCATGTGTTCCTACCCTACTGTATGTGTGCTCACTGTGCACCGTGAGAGTGTGCAACTTTTTCACCTCTAAAAACTTTACAATAAAAGCTATGTCGGCCATTGCAGCAGTGGGGTACAGAGGTTTGCCCTGGCCACAACAACACATGTCAGTTTGGTGCACAGTACACTGGAGTGTGGCTGCCTCACAGTTTGGGGGAATAGCATGAATTTTTCACTCGAGCAATGTGTTCAGCTCAGGCAGGGCTCACTCCTCAGGGCGTCCACGACTGCTGAGTGACAGAAAAGGATCATGGGCACATGAACTGCTGGCACTTTACAAAAAAACTAAAGCCTCTCTGTGACCTCAGTATTCATTTTATTTCCTTTGACTTTATGTTCTTTCACTAAAATATACCTCGCATTCAATATAAACATACCTTAAGACCTTCAATCTCTTTGTGACAGTTCTTCTGAATCTTTTCTGCATCTTCACATCATGAGTGGATTTAATAGAAAAATTCAAGTGAGGACCAGAGCTCTGACCTGGATTCACAATGGTGAGACTATTTCACGGCGAGGAGGATATTTGACTTTTGAAGAGAAAATTCTTGGTTTGAAATCTGTGGTCTCAGGAAAATACACTCTCAAGGTTTTCTCCCACCCTTTCTCTCATTTTTGCCTCCATGTGTGGGTATGTGCGCCTATGGTCGTGTGTTTATTGTGTTTATTCTATTTTTTGTGTATTCTCAGTGCTGGTGTGGTTATTTCTATGTGAGTGCGTGTGTATGTGCATGCAGCTTACTCAAGTGCATGCTGTCTCACCCTGTTGTCTTTCTCAGTCCTGTAATGTTTGTGCTGAATAAATCAGCTGGGAGCCAGTGAAAGAGCAAGTCTTCTAGAAACTTGAGGATCAGAAAATCCACGCTATCGCCACAATACCGTCTGGAGCCCCGGTGTTTGTGTTGGTGCTGTTTGAGTTCAAGGTCCACGTAGTCCACATCCTTACATACTAAAAGCCTTATTCCCCTCAATTCTAGACAGAGGTGCAGAGCAGACAAATGAATTCTTTTCCACAAGTCACACTTTGTGAGGACAAACTTAGAGAGGGTGTTCCCTGCTGTCCTGTTCATCTACTTCATTTTCACTGATGTACATGTTTTTGTTGCAGCTACTCTTAAAACAGTTGTCCCAAAAGGCTTCACTGATGTGAAGTACGGTTTCTTGTCACAAAGAAAGCATGTAATCTTAGATGATTGGTGTTTTTGATGATTTCTCAGTGGTGCCGTCGTGTTGTGAAAAATAATAATAACAGCGCTCACATTTTCTGCTAAAGTTAAAATAAGTTGAAAGTTGTTCTAGCACTAACTTTTGGTTTCTTTCTGACAACATAACTTGGGAAAATAAGTGTCAATTTCCTCAGGGAATAAATTAAATAATAATTCATAGACCTTTATGGAAACAAAAAGACAACAAAAAGGCACATTAAGGGAATTGATGAATACAATACAAACATGTGCTGACCCAGCAAGCCACCACGGGGCAATTGATATGCTTTGGCTTTCACTTTTGAGGAGGTGTCATGTCTCAGTCTATATGGACACAACAGGTGGTCTGTTCATTGTGCTGCAGACTCTCTGGAGTGGAGTTTAGTTCAGCTGGAGTTGAAAGAATTAAACCTGGATTCCGATATAATGTGATTCTCTAAAATGCCTGAACACTACACTCACATTGTTAATCCAATGGATTCATTCAATCACCTCATGCCAATCCCTCCGTCTGTGCCAACCAGTTAACCAAGCCCTGCCAGTCCCAGTGAGTCAGTGCTGGCTGAGCAGATCCCTGCACGTATACAGCCTGGGTGTGTGTGTGCAGATGAATGTAGTGTATTTGCGATGCATGTGTGTGAATGTTTGTAGATGCAGCTGTGTGGTTGTGTGTGGGAAAGGGCTGCACAATTTGACTAAGTATGACAAGTAAGCCTACTTTGTTTCCTTCTTTCTGAAATGACACTTCACTAGGTTGAGAAAGTCAAAAATTTACCTACCGACCAAAATGCAAGTTCATAGCAAGACACCTAACACACTAATAATTACATTACTATTAGGTTTGTTGATTAATCCTACCTTGAAGATGGTTAACACTGACCTCGTCATTGGCTTCCTTGGCTTCTTAAAAAGACCCACTGACCTTTCCTCTAATCCACCAACTGCTGGGCAAAGTGTTACACACTATATCTAAAAGTCTAAAGGGCAAATTTATGTCTTCCACAGAAAAAAGCATTTTAATATGTTGGCAACCCTCCTGACCTTTTCACCGGCACCACCCCTCTGTCATCATTTACACATACTGTATGCAAGATGCTGGGTGAGATACAGGATCTAAACAGCAATATGTTATGATACTCTCTTTATTGACAGATGACTACATTCATACCTGTACTGTGACACTTTCTCTGCATCTCATCTCACACTGTCACCAA